GCAGCGGTAGATGCTACGGCTACACCTACCCCACGGAGCCCCCCAAAGACTACGGATGCGAAGACAGAGCCGTCGACGAGCTCAAGCTCAAAGGCGGCAACGGAAGCCTCTCCAAAGCCACAGAAGAACTGAGGAGAGCACTGCAAAAGCTGTAGCTGGATAATTCACCTTTGTATAGTACATCGAGACGCACTAAGAGAAAATAGCGAGCAGTATCGGCTTAATACTGCTACTGACGAAAATGGAAGTATGGATGTTAAAATCCACGCGAAGTTCAATATGATTTGTTCAAACTTATATCCTGAAATAAGTTTTCAGTCATTATCTAAACATTTCATACAGTGCTATTGAAAATGTACAAAATGGTAATTTCATCAGTAGTCGACACTTTATACAGAAAATGTGTTTGTCTTGCCATATATCAGGAATAGAATAAATGCGACGTACATAGCAGGTGTTTCCCTAACAGATGTGGAACTGTTGAAATTTTATTTCTTCAAATAAACTGTTTTCTCATTTACTTTATTGCAATATGAAAATGCTAGCGGACAACAATGTTGCATATTCTTATTCCGTTTGCAACTTTTTATTCCCATTTATGCGAGGTCCAGTTGAACGTGACCGGAGAGCATCTAAGATGATGACTCAACTTGCCTGTTGTAAGTTACTCTTTGCGTGTATATAATTAGTTGTAAGAAAATGAAAAATGCACATTAAGAACTACTTTGGTACATCATGTGCCGTTATTCAGCTCGTAAATCTACGACGCTCTATAACGTAAACAATATGAAATGATATGATCGGCGTATATTAACGATACTGTTGTTTACAAGTCTAAATCGTATTCACACACAGTCAACTCGGTCCACCTACGCAGCGATTAATATTGCAGAAAAACGTTACAACTACTGAAGCTATAGTAAATTTTCTATAACGTCTCACCGGTTTTGGTTGTGTATCAATAAAAAATACAATATTATAAATGTGATTGCAAATGTTTTCGAATTTCGTAATATGTTTACTTGGATGTAATGATGCTTACAGCATCAAGAAGAATGTCACTAATTTTTATTTTCCAATTGTGTATATTTTTTATGACCTAATATCAGTTACTGCTGTATTTATTTGTTGAAGACTTTGCGCTAGCCCAGACCCAGATCTTTTTATACATCCTTATTTAGTTCTTTGATCACCTTATGATTATTGGCAATACATATTTGAAATCCCTTACGTTTGAATCACTCCAAATTTTCAGACAATTCCCTAGATTTTTTTACTGCCTAGGCCAATTACAAGTCCAAGAAATGATTATTACTTTTTTTTCGTATTTCATTACTACTCATTCATACTAGTAACCTTATCTTGATGTTTGTGATGATAAGATGAGACGATGATTGACAAAAACAAGCCTAATCTCAAGCAACATCATCGTCATCTCAAGCAATATCATCGTCAGCATCATCATTATCATCATCATCATCATCGTCGACATCGTCATCGTCACCATCATCATCATCACCATCATCATCATCATCATCATCATCATCATCATCATCATCATCATCATCATCATCATCATCGTCATCATCGTCATCTTCGACATCATCGTTATTATCATCGTTAACATCACCGTTATAATTATCATCATTATCGTCATCATCATCATCGTCATCGTCATCATCGCTAAATCATCGTTATCACCATCGTTATCATCACCATCATCGTCATTATCGTCGTCATCGTCAGCATCATCATTGTCATTATTATCGTCACCATCATCGTCGCTATCGTCATCATCATCAGCATTCGCGAAACTCCCCTGCTTATGCTGTATTCTGTAGATTGAAGTTCTTAAAAGATGTCATGATCAAAGGGGCGGTGTGACATGCTACTAAACGAGTATGAGAACGTCAAATACACTGCGTTCGATAAAATCAGAATGACTTTAGAACCAATCAGACCTATAAGCCAGTGGATCCTGCACTAGAAGTTCTTTTTTCCGCGCCTAGAGCCCACCCATTCTCTTTGATCCATTTTCGACTTACTTTTTTTTTTCGTATTTTTGCCCTAGCTCCGCCGCTACTGGACCAATTTTCAAAATCTACAAAGCTTTTTCGTCATTTTCATACTAGTAACCTTGCGTGAAAATTTCATCAAAATCTGAGTGTTTTTCGTAATGCAAATAATATTCAAAAAACATTTTTATCGATTACAATACTTCCTCGCCCAGTGGCGAACTAAGAAATATTAGGCAACACTGCAGTTCAAAACGCACTGGAGGGTGTTGTTGGTAAGAGCGATAATGGCCCGTATTCAAATCATCGGCATCGTATGCATTCTAATAATTCCGGGAATCCAAATTGTGGCCGGCAATACCGCAGCAGGCGGTGACTGAACGACACTGGACTGGACATTATCGGTTTCGATTGATGTGGATGAAGCGGAAATCACCAGACCTCCCTCGGGAAACAGATGGGGAGTCGGAGAGGATCCGGTAATTTGATCGGAAGGGCATTACGTCACTTTTCGTGTCAGGATAAGAATTTGAGGCTTATAAGATAGAATCTCTTCATGTGTGTATAATATAATATGTCTGTCACTATACGAAATTTTATGCTAAAATCAGTACGCTAAGTTTCGTACAAAATTAAAGAGCATTTAGTACATAAATTTGTATGAACAAATTGAGTGCCAAATTTTTAGAACCTGTCCTAAATAATATCATGCCATAAGTGCGTTTTGAGCAGAACAATGGCTGATAGAAACGCTACATGACAAGGAATAACATGTTTTGTGTTAACTCCTTGATATTATCTTGATGTTTTGTGATGATTAGATGACACGATGATTGACAAAAAGAAGCCTAATCTCAAGCAACATCATCGTCATCTCAAGCAACATCATCGTCAGCATCATCATTATCATCATCATCATCATCTTCGTCGACATCGTCATCGTCATCATCATCATCATCATCATCATCATCGTAATCGTAATCATCATCGTCATCGTCATCATCATCATCACCAACATCATCATCATCGTCATCTTCGTTATCATCGTTAACATCATCGTTAACATGATCGTTATCATTATCATCATCATCGTCATCATCATCATCATCGACATCATCGTCATCATCGTTAAAATCATCGGTCATCATCTTTATCATCACCATCATCGTCATTATCGTCATCATCCTCATTTTCATCATTATCGTCATCATCATCATCACCATCATCGTCATTATCATCATCGTCTTCATCGTCATCGTCATTATCATCATTATCGTCATCGTCGTCATCACCATCATCATCGTCGTCATCGACATCGTCGTCGTCATCGTCATATCATCAGCATTCGCGAAACTCTCCTGATTATGCTGTATTCTGTTCAACTTGTAGATTGAAGAACTTCAAAGATGTCATAATCATAGGAGCAATGTGACCTACTACTAAACGAGTATGAGAAGTATGATTGTTTATATGCTGTAAAAAAATCAGAATAACCAATTAGACCTATAAGCCGGATCCTCCACTAGAGGTCCTTTTTTCCGCACCTATAGCCCACCCATTCTCTCTGATCCATTTTCGACAACAAATTCTTTGAATTCAGACAATAGTAGGAGGCACTTTTTTGAAAAGCGCTGTAATACATTCTTGTCAATTAAGTCTAATTTACTACTTATATATGATCTAAATGTGCATTTTTCATACAAATTAGTAAATAGCATTACGTGAAACTGTACATAACTGTGATATACATATTTTAATGTTATATAAGCTTAACCCAGTGTAGCGTGTAGTGTAAGTGCTGGTATTACTATTTTCCAATTCATATTCGCCAATCATTGTTCTGATTAAACTAAATATTTTTTTCGGAAAGATTCCAGCTCTTAACGTTCTTATTGCTCATAAAATACCTGTATTCCTGTTTTAAATCTGAAAATAAACTAAACTGAAAATCAACTTTATCCTGAAGGAAAAAGTAGTTTACCATTATACGTTATGTAACTTGTAACTACAATAATTTCACTTAACTCAATAAAGGTATTATCTTGTTCAAAACTTTCTCTTTTACTTTTTGGTTTATGACGACGAGTAACAAACAGTACGCAAGTTTTTTGCTCTTAGCATGTTTGAATGATGGTTTCTTTGGTTTCTTAACATTGATGCAGGTTTCAGGATTGGATCGGGAAATTAGGATTATTTTCAGGAACGCAACATTGAGATATAATAATTATAGCATTTTAGCTAAAAGTATCGAAGGCATTTGAAGGTTTTGTGAAAAAGCACTACAAAATTCCAAGCAATTAGCAAAAGTCAACAAGTGTTTGCAGGTCTACCTTTCAAGGGCAGCTAAATACAACATATCAACATTTATTTTCAATTATGGAGAAATACGAGGGTTGTCTCGAAAATACGGTTTCCACTTTTTCTATTTAAAAGAATAATGCAACCGTTGGAGAGGAAAATAAATAAATTTAGCACGGTTGTGTCATGTATCTTGTTTTCCTTTTTCAGCACCAGCGAGAATTTTTTCAATAAAAGCTGTGGTAGGTACAATATTTGTTTGGAATGGAATTTGATTCGAGCATCAATTAGCTTTGGAAGATATGCACATTGGAAGCGGAAAGATAAAGGTAGTATAGAAAATATTTTGAACAATGGCTTGAAAAATTACAAAACAGCTGTTTAAAAATGTGCGATAATGAGGGAGAGAGGAATAAAATATTCAGTAAAAGGATGCCGACTCCTGAATTTAATCTATAATTATCGATTATGCCTATTGCTTTTCGACCAGTACAGAAGAAAGTTGAGGACAGCAAAATTCGAAGGAATATCTTTGCCAGCACCCGAAAACTCCAGTCCTCAATTCCCTTAAAAAATATCTGAGTGATTCCAACATTTTAACTTATCCTCGTCACCTGCACTCTATAAAGCACAAGTCAACAAAGATTATTGTGGGAGAGTTTTCTGACTACGACACAATAACCGTACCTCAATTGTGGTTATTATATTTGAATAGTGACATTTATTATTTGAACTGGACTCACCGAATCTGCGTAATCCTGTTGGTGCAAGGCTGTTGTGCTTCCTGACCTCGAATCTGGAGGACTTGAATGTCTTCTATTTCTTCCATCAGGAGCATTCTCTTCGTCACCGCTACCGTATTCCTGTAAGCAAGAGGTTACAAATTTACCACTTTGAAACGGTGCTTCTAGACAAATGGCTTCTGAAAACATAGAATGCTACACATTTAATGTCCAGATTTTAATGAAATTGCTAAAACGTAAAGATCATGCGGTTTCCACTCCACATACGTATACTAAGTGACATATAAATCCGAACACCCAGTTTAAATGGTTTTATTTTAATAAAAGTTGGTGAATGTATTTATCTTACTGTAAATAACAAGTGAAAAAATTTTCAGCCTTATCAGTTGGACATTCCGGTTTTTATACTGCTATTTTTTAATTCACTAACGCTCTAAAAATGAATATTTCAGCCGCAGTAAAGAATCAACGTTGGTGGATTTTGGTTCTTGACATCCTTTACGATCGGTTACGATGCCTAGAGTACGGAGACCTGTACGATTTCGTCAACTTAGTGAGTTTGATAGGGGCCGTATAGTGGGACTTCGGGAAGCTGGACTTTATTTTCGGGTAATTGCAGTTAGAGTGCAAAGAAGTGTAGACACTGTGGTTAGGTGTTGTCAGGCATGGCTTCGAGAAGGCCGTAATGTCGGTTCCGGGTCGGTTCCGGGGTCGGTTCCGGGGTCGGTTCCGGGTCGGTTCCGGGTCGGTTCCGGGTCGGTTCCGGGGTCGGTTCATGTCGGTTCAGGTCGGTTCCGGGTCGGTTCCAGTTCGGTTCCTGTTCGGTTCCGGGTCGATTGCAAAGTAACATTTTCACATCATGGATAATAGCTCAAGTTCGACTGAATATTTACAAAGTTTTTGAATCCCAAAAGTATACTCGTCTCTAGGGTGTAAACCAAAGTTTAATACTGTCCATGCGAGAAAGCCCTGAATACCCTTAAAGTCCTTAAACAAAATAAAAAATATAATAAAGAGGCAAATGAAGAGGCGGTGAAGCACAAAAAAGGCAAAAACGAAGAAAGAACCGCCGGGAGCTGGCAACGGACGCGAAAAACAAATCTATACAACCTGTCAGCGAGTAGGAATGTAAAAACGATATTTTTGCTCACACAAACGCTGCTAAAGTAGCTGGTGATTCTGTAACAACGTTTTTGTCAGTTTTGAGAATGTTTTTGACGATGAGCTTTTAACTGGAGTTGGTAAATTATTCCATAAGTGAACCGCCACATAGGCAAACGATCGTCGGAAGGAACGGGTTCTATGCCTAGGTACGATAAAATTGAGATTATTTCTACTTCTCTGGGGACTAGGCAAAGGCACAAATCTTTCTCTTAAATAGGGCGGTTGACCTGTTTTTATAACCCTATAGATAAAAGAATACATGTGATATTTTCTGCGATTCGTCATGTTTAATATGTTGTAGTTATTCAGATAAGGAGTGATATGGTTTCGATATGGAATTCCAAATGCAAATCTCATGCAACTAGCAAAGAGCAAGGGGCACTGGACGCCGCCGTAGAACAACAGACCGTGAAGATCGCCGCCTAAGATTATTGGCCTTAAGGGACCGTTTCTCCACTACCAGGTCCATTGCAAATGAATGGTTTGCAGAACACGGAAGACCTATTGGCATGCGAAGTGTTTACCGACGAATGAGAAGTTTTGGCTTGTTTTCATACCGGCCACACTGGGTCCTCCCTTTAACTCGAGAACGCCGACGTAATCGCCTTGAGTGGTGCAGACAACGGTCACTCTGGGATCAGGAATGGAACAGTATTGTCTTTAGTGACGAGTCTCGATTTTGTTTAGGCATACACGATGGTCGTGCCAGGGTTAGAAGGCGACGTAGTGAAAGGAGGAATCTACAGTTTTTTTGTTGAAAGACATCTTCATCACACTCTTGGAGTTATGGTTTGGGGTGCTATAGCTTATGGTTCCAGGTCACCTTTAATCTTCATCAGAGGTAACATGAACGCGCAGCGTTATATCCACGAAGTTCTAGAACCCAATCTTTTACCCTATCTTGACACCCTGGCAGATCCAACTTTCCAACAAGATAATGCCCGACCACATGTTGCAAGAGTCACAATAGACTTCTTTCAACATAATGATGTCACATTGTTACCATGGCCACCAAGATCTCCCGACTTATCCCCAATTGAGCACGTGTGGGATATGTTGGGTAGGAGATTGCTCAATTTGCAACGTCCTCCTCAGACTCTAGAAGCACATCGAGATGAGTTGGTGGTTGCCTGGAATGAGATACCACAGGAGGACATTGACTTCATTGACCACCTGATCAGAAGCATGCCTAGGCGCGTTGGAGAATGCGTAGCACATCCGGGTGCATCCACACATTATTAAAGGTCAAAGGGCTTTAAAGCAGTGCAATCATTTTGAAATTTTTATCATTTACTTATTATGCTTCATTAAGTACTTATACAAAATTTTATTAAAATACAACCATTTAAACTGGGTGTTCGGATTTATATGTCACTTAGTATATTATTGACAGACGCATCATAGCTCATAATATATAGTATGTCTATAAAATAAAACGTCCAGTTTTGTAACACCCATTTCTTTTGTCTGGAACACCTGACAGCTGCATCTAATTTCTTGAATGGAGTTCGTGAAAATGAGGTTAGATACAGCAAGTTATTGTCGCTACCTACCTACCTGCTAATGAGAACTAGACAAAAAAGTGGAGAGAGCCGATCGCATCTTTTGTTATCATGGTTATAATGTTTTTCTAACATTCAATGTTGTGAACATTGCACATCAAGATAATGAATGTTAATGAATAATGGGTAATATATCCAGTCGATAGGCAAGGTGCTACTGAATCAAAACGCGGAGTAAAGATCCAATGATTTTTAAAAACCGGGTCGTTAAGTTCCGAATTTCCAAAAGTAACAGTTTTCTTGCAAAAATCAGAAGTGGAAGTTCTTAATCTACAAAATTCTTCAAAATTGGTACTCTAATAATGTAATTCAAGTTTATAAAATATTTATTAAAAGTACGACGTTTCGAATACTTCAAGCGCCATCTTTAGATACACGCGAGTTTCTAGAGTATACTAAGTGACATATAAATCCGAACACGCAGTTTAAATGGTTTTATTTTAATAAAAGTTGGTGAAAGTATTTATCTTACTGTAAATAACAAGTGAAAAATTTTTCAGCCTTATCAGTTGGACATTTCGGTTTTTATACTGCTTTTTTTTAATTCACTAACGCTCTAAAAATGAATATTTCAGCCGCAGTAAAGAATCAACGTTGGCGGACTTAGTATAGATCAGACTGATCACGCTAATGGATGTTAATATTAGCCAAATGCTCAAACTGCAGTACGCGTGTTGCGTTTATGTGTTAATTTTAGTCAGAGTTTCGATTTTCTTATGTGTTTTCTAAGAACATCATTTTATATCCTGAGTTCCTATTGCAGCATCTCATCCGGGGATCGGCTCTCTCCTCATCAAACATATGAAAGATATAGTCAATAGGAGTGCGCAAATCAAAATGAAACGACATCCAGCTAAACTATGATAGAGATATGTTGGTGCTAGTGCTCTAAGGTAATCGAAAGAAGCTCGGAAGTAAGTGTATTCGATCTAGAGCTCTTTTTGTGTACATCTATCGAGCCTACGGAGATACGTAGTATAGTAACAATAGACAAAGAAGAGAACAGAATAAAAACATAGTAGTCACCTGGTTACGGTGATCTTCGTCGTTTAAGTCAGACACGGTTTTGCCGCCATGGTGCTTCCTAAAAACGTCAAATTCATATATTAAGTGATTAAGGACCATTATCATTAAAGGGTCTAACAATCAGTAACGGCTTTCTATTGCGTTATACATTTATAAACTATAAAGTTCAACTGCGTCAGAATTGATAACAGTAGCAGAAGTCATCGTGCGCCACTGCTGTGACGCTGTACCTTTTGATTACAGCGACGTTCACCGACAAAGAAGCGCCGCATTTTCGAAGGCCTCCGCGTAATAGCAGTGGCGTACGATGAGTTTCGCTACTGTCATCAATTTTGGTATTATAATATAGTGTATCGCAGATTCTGTTGGTATAATTTTTTGTGTACTTTTACTTGGTAGTAATAACCGAATAAAATATAATACGAGGTCTGTAAATTAAGTGATGAGAAAGATATTTAACTTTTTTATTCAAACAATTTCAATTCGACTGGAGACTCACAGCGCTGGAGGCGGTTCTTCCACTCCTCATAGGAGTGCTGGAACTCCGATGCTGAAATGAATGATTTCAAATGTCCCTAAATGATTTCCCTTGAGGTGATTTTTAAACATCGCGAAGGGAAAAATGTCGCAAGGGCTCAAGTCTCAATTTGTTTGTGGGATTAACAGCAACATTGATGATGTTCATCGCTACCTGCAATCCAATCGTCCCGCCGTGCTTTTCTTGGCGGAGACAAAATTCTCACAGTTTGCACCAATTAACCGTCTAGACTTTCTGAACTACGAGGTGCACTCCAATCTGAGAAAGAACGGGGGAGTTGTTGCTTTTGTCCGCAGCAGTCTTTCCTGCTCCAGAGTTGTTTGGAATCAGCCCGGAAGGATATTCTGTGGCTTCGCCTCATCTCCAAAACATCACTCAAATTTATATGCTCCCGCGGACCATAACTGGGATGACCTCACCGTGCAGATTGACTTCCTGAATATCAATCACTCCGCTTGAGAGATAGTTCTTCTCGGAGATTTCAATGCCCATATAATGAGCTTTGGTTGGGCTCAAACAAGACCGATGCAGCAGGTCGTGCAGTCGAAGCGCTCGCTCTTACTCAAGGGCTGACCCAGCTGGTGACGAGCCCTACTTTTTTCCCCGCGTCTCGTCACATGCCAGTAGCCTGCTGGATCTCTTTCTGACCACGCATCCTGTCCCTTACAGCACTGCTGTCCTGTTCCCCCTGGGTAACTCAGATCACGGTGTCGTGGAGGTTAGGTTTCTGTCTGAACCCGCTGTGGCAGCAGAAACTCGTACAGGAGGCAAAAACTTGGCATTACGGACATGCCGACTGGGAGGGGCTCAGAGACTTCTCTAGCTTTCCTTGGAGAGATGTCTGTTTCACTGACGCGGATGCGTCGGCTGTCTGTTCTTCGATAACAGGAATTATCCTCGTCGGAATGGAGGAACACATCCCAGCAAGGTCCAACGGCTGGTTTAACAAATCGTGTGACACTGCTCGCCAGCAAAAGATCAAGCAGCCGCGGTAATCCGGTATTTAGGCTTCTGCCCGCGCGGCTGCTTCTATAAAAAAAAAGTCAGGTGAGGAGCCACAGGAACGTTTTCACTTGCAAACACTCGTTCGTTGTTCATGACTGACGAACGGTGGTACGAGTCCTGCGTTGCCAGTCTCACTACTTAATTTACAGACCTCGTACACTCACATTCGTCCGAGGAAGCTGATAGAGTGCCCCCAAAAAAACATTTTGATCATTACGTACTCGTTAATGATGTTTTGTGTTTACTATAATTCCAACAACCGTAAACCAGCTAAGTACATTCTAAGAACAGTAGGCTAGTAACACACTTTAACACACTTATGGAAATGGATAAGTAGTACACAGTAGAAACTTGTCAGGTGAGTGTAAGGATACGCAAGATAATAGACGCAATTTTAACGGTGTAATATCCAGAAAATTGGGCTTTCTTAATGTTGAACTTTACGTCAACGACCTGACCTACAAATAAATTCCACTGGGTGATGTTTTTATCTTATGCTCGTTCTGTAAAGATACTTTTTGAGTATGATATGTTTATTTAAATCGCCGAATCTTGTCTGTTAAAAATGCAGCCACACCGTTGTTATTCACATACAAATTTGGACATTCGTGCCATCTATTACCAGAATCGAGAGTGAAAACAGCGAGGCATTTGTTGGAATTGTATCTCAGTTCGCATCGTCTGCCGGGACACTACTGTGGCCGCTAGATACCGCCGATTCTGGTGCTATAGTAGATACGGTCTATTCGCCATTAAAAAAAACTAGTAATATAGTAATTGATTCTGGTTATAGATGGTACTTTATGCTAATACTCTAGATAGAGGATAGTACGAGGGTTGTTTCAAAAATAGGGTTCCCATAGCAACATGTAATTTTTTATTTGAAAGAACGAATACATTATTGAAAACTTCCAAGCTCTTTTTCTACGCATCCACTTTTTTTTTATACTCCAACTACCACGAAGGCCCATTGAGTGCCGTGGGGCTATAGGGGATACAGGGGAGAGGGGGGACGCCACACGGACTCTGGCGAGGGAACACGTGTGCATGCAACATGCACACATTCTGGCTCCGCCTACGAGATCCGCCGGGTGGTACCTCCACGTTCGACAGTCAGAGACCGTCTACCACCTGCGGATAATCACAACATCCATAGCCAAGAGAAAATTTCTCCTGGGACGGGACTCGAACCCGCACAGCGCACGGCGACTGATCAGGAGACCGAAGAGTCTACTACTGCGGCCACCGCTGCTGCCTGAACTTTTGAACGTTGACCGCTTAGGTGCTCCTTCAATTTCCGAAACACATTGTGAGGGCTGTAAAGGGAATGCGCAATGACTTCACAGCCAAATAGCTCGATTAAGTCCTTCGTTTGTTGTGAGTCCTTATTTATGAGACAACCCTCGTACATAGGACTAGACCACGCCGCGATGTCGCTAAATAGCACTGCTAAAAATGGTTGGTCGTATGTGATCGGACGAACAACAGCTACATTACTAGTTTTTCCCGGACTATTTTTATTATCCCCACTTTGAGTACGAGAACTGGGGGTATTCCTTTTAAGATCGGTCTTTTACCTTGGATTTCTGTCGGATATACCCATCCCCAGGCCGGAATCTTCTGAGGGTGACCTGTAAACTTCTTCGTTATAACCAACACCAGCTGGAAGTGACTCTGAGCCGTACTCCTGCAAGTCCAACGGAGATAATGGTCGCCATTACTGTATTCGGTTCGATATGTTCAAAAGAAATGATAAAACGTCTGAACAGAAACTACATAAGCGCTAACAAACAAAACCTGCTAGGAGCCCCTTCCCACTTCAAGATTTGTACCAAAATTTGCCTTTATAAACTAAACATGACGAAACTTCTAAAACAATTTATTTTCTCAAAAACATTTTAGATACACTCTAGTCGTAAAAAATACATATTTGATATGACTTAGACCTATAACTAATAGAACATCTGAACAATGTGCGAAGTTAAAAAAGCAACAATTGAAAGATTACCATTGGGTAACATCACCTTTATTTTTTATTACGGCTGAAATTCTTTGGGGCATAGTGTTAACCAAGTTTTAGCAAAAATTTGGTGTAAAACAATCCCATATTTCTTGAAGCTTTTGTCTCAGTTCGGGGATTGTACGAGCAGGATGTTGTCGTAGAACCTTTTTCATGTCGTGCCACAAAGTTTCAATAGGTGACAGATCTGGACTGCTAGAAACCCATTTCAAAAGTGGTACATTATTTTTTTCCATCCATTTTATAGCTTTTTTTGAGGTATGGCATGCTGCACCATCTTACTGAAACACAAAATCTTGGCCGGATGTCAAACATTCTTCGATCACTGGCAATTGCGATTCTTCTAAAATTCCCAAATATTTGTTTGTATCGACATTTCCATCAATAAAATGAGTCAACATGGAATGCTTCATTTTTTTTGCGAATGACTCTACTGTGACTGTCACCAACACAAACTTCGAATCAAGCCTCATCGTCATCACTCCATTGTATTGGACACCTGTCTATGTTCTTTAGCCCATCTAAGCCGATTTTTATTTTGAAGTGGAGTTAATACTGGCTTTCTATGGCCTATAATATAAACAAGTTGTGCAACTTCAGGGTGTTTACTTCACTTTTTTTTATAAGAAAACTTACCTTGCAAGTGCTAAATCCCAGTTTGTGGGCCTCTCCCTCTCTATGAGTTATGGACCTCTCAACAGCGTCACCCCACCCCCACAGAGCACTTAATTGTAAATAATTGGAACGCCTGTTTTTCACGATTATTCTTCTTAATGCTGCTCTTCGGTCGGCATTTGTGATATTACTTTTTTTCACATATCGTGGCTTGATATTATCTGAACCAGTTACGTTATATCTTCTAACTTCTAACAATATTTTTCACACTGTACCGCAATGAGTCTAACCAAGTTGCAAGCTTGCAATTCCAGATCCAGAGTTTGATTTCCCAGAATTAAAAAATTTAATTATCACTAACCGATTACGCATTACGCCATTACAGATGATAAAACATCAGAATCCAAATATCCAAAATATTTTGTTTTGATTCGCTTAAAATTTTGAAAGATCTTCAGTAGTAGCGTCAGAAATTTGACAGCCGGTTTCGTTGCGTCAACCAAACTGCCAAGTGGATTATAATCAGCAATCATATCCAACAATCATCATTCGCTACAGTGGATCAGTTAAGACCCTACTGAAGACAAAAAATAAATCGTCAGGCAACGTAGTCTATGATTTTACTCCACCATACGTAGTGGAAGCGGGAGTGCTGCCATCTGTCGTCGTACAAGAAAAGCACGTAAAACGCAGCGCGGAGAGGTATCGACGATATTAGCGGAATCGTCGGACGATATGCTCCGTTGACGCCGGATAGGACGATACGTCAGTCGACGTTGCCAGATCTTCCAAATTTTCAGAAAGCTTGCTATATTGGAACGACTCGATTACAAAGCGTTGCCATTATATCTCAGGAACAGGTAAAGTAGTTCGAAAAGTGAATGACATTGGAATACATCATCTTATCATGCAAATCAATCATCAGCCTTGGAACTTGCAAATGTGTGGGGATTTCTATTATTTAAATTTGGATATGTATGTTTTATCTACGCTAGAAATATAAGTTGCCATAGATCTATAGATCATTCCATAGTTCTAGAAGTATCAACCTAGTATTAAGATAAGATTCTGATTTGTATTTAGCACTTTGAAGTTATTTTAAGAAAGATGCGTGCACGTCTCAGGAATATGAAAAAACTTGTAAATCATTACAATGTCACTTGACAACATCGCCGGCATCTATTCACATGTAGTTTGAAAAACAGTGAATAGAGGCGAGGCGCAAGGCAACTGATATTGCACACGTCTAATTCAGTTGCAGGCCAGTTATATCCCTACAAATCCCTTACGTTGCATTAGAATTAGAACAACGCCACCATAAGAATTTGCTGAACTTGTATAGATAACTTCAACGATACACATGTTATTTCATTATATAGTTCGAGTATTGTATCTTTACACTGTATCTTAAAAATCAAAATAAATTTTTTTTAAAAAGAAAAATCGAAAAGTCGAAATTTAAGCGGCCTTTAATATACGAGGGTGGATTGATATGTTCAAATTCCGTATTCAGGGTTGCCGAAATTTTTAGTTTAAAAAACAGTGGATAGAGGCAACTGATATTGCACACGTATGATTCACTCCCAGACCACTGATATACGAGGGTGGATTGATATGTTCAAGTTCCGTATTCAGGGTTGCCATGTTTGGGATTTTTTTAGTTTGAAATACAATGAATAGAGACAACTGATATTGCACATGTATGATTTAGCTCCCAGGCCTTTGATATACGAGGGTAGATTAATATGTTCAAGTTCCGTATTTAGGATTGCCATATCGGGGAATTTTCCGAGATTTTTAGTTTGAAAACAGTGGATAGAGGCAACTGATATTGCACACGTATGATTCAGCTCCCAGGCCACTGATATATAAGGGTGGATTGATATGTCCAAGTTCGGTATTCAGGGTTGCCATATTGAGATTTTTCCGAAATGTTTAGTTTGAAAAACGGTGAATAGAGGCAGCTGATATTGCACACGTATGATTCTCTCCCAGACCACTGATATACGAGGTTGAATTGGTATGTTCAAGTTCCGTATGCAGGGTTACATATTGGGAATTTTTTTAGTTTGAAAAACAATGAATAGAGGCAACTGATATTGCACACGTATGATTTAGCTCCCAGTCCTTCGATATACGAGGGTATATTAGTATGTTCAAGTTCCGTATTCAGGGTTGCCATATTTGGGATTTTTTTAGTTTGAAAAACAATGAATAGACGCTACTGATATTGCACACGTATGATTTACTCCCAGAGCACTTATGTACGAGGGTGGATTGGTATGTTCACGTTCCGTATTCAGGGTTGCCATATTCGGGATTTTTCCGAAGTTGTTAGTAAAAAAAAAGCAGTGAATAGAGGCAGCTGATATAGCACACGTATGATTCACTGTCAGGCCATTGATATACGAGGGTGAATTGGTATGTTCAAGTTCCGTATTAAAGCTTGCCATATCGGGGAATTTTTCGAAATTTTTGAGGGATATGGGTCGTACTCATTTTACCAGGGTTTCAGAAAATGAAATAGGCACCTGTTGTATGATTGTTAGTTCTACGACAACCTACCTGCTTTCGAAAGTCCCTGCTGCAACTAGAGCTACCTTAAAAATCCACAATATTTGCTAAAGAAGAAAAACGTAACGTGAACCAAACACATCAGAGTACCTAGTTTAAGTGCAAAAATTTAAGATACAATTTCAAAAATATCACTTGCATAATGATAGATTGAACTATCAAGAACCTAAGCTAGAGATGTTTTTATTATCATGTTTTGATACTGTTTATGTTATTACTTGTTACGGTAGCAGGCACCGACATATTTCTATCATTTGAAGAATTAAATACGATACTAAGAAATTTGGAAAAAGTTGATTTTTTCCTTACCTCATGGTATCCTGCGTAGATTGCGTGGTTGTTCTCAGGTATCGGTACTCCTTTTCTCTAGAATAATCAAGCAACACGTTATTACAATTCTGTTTGACATTGGATTTTGTCGTAGAGGTATCTCTCTGTTCAGAGAGGTATGGTTTTAGTTTAGGACTTATTAATATTTTATACGAAGCATTACAGAATGCTCTCAAACAAACTAGGGGCAGCACCTAAGAATATTAAGGTCGATGGGTCCAAAGATAAAAAAGAGCCTTTAACCCTAGGGGGTGTCATAAATTACCTAAGGCAGGCTTTTTGACAATTTTCCGGCAAAAATTTTACTTTGGCCAATAACAGAAAGGAATATGAAGATGTCCTAAAATATAATATGCGCTTACCCTGGAATGCCTATAGTCATGTTCTCGTGGGTCCCGGATTCTAGAGTATTCCGAGTCCCTCCTATAAACTAATTCGTCGAACTTAACCCTATCTTCAGGAGCCACTATTTCCCGAAGTTCGGTCATTAGTGTGTACTGAAAATGACGAAACAGTAACATGTTGTACAAAAGAAAAATACAATAATATAAGTTGTTAAACGCGTGTTTTAAACGTCAGTGGCGTACCGTCAATATCTGCCATAATAGGTGGGGAACCTTCGTACGAACGCCACTGGTAGAAATTGAAAAAAGCGGTACAATAAAAATTCCTCTTGATACATAGTGTGTGTATACCTAACACTAGAACGTCTGAAGTGGTTATTACAGATAATAATAAATTATTTATTTTTGAAAAATTTATCAACTTGTATCTCAAAAGTTAGATGTTAATATACAGCTTTCTTTTCGAAATTGATCCAAAAATTGCCCCCTTAAATATTGACATCCAATTATATATTAGGCCTATATATAACTACGTTATGGGTTCAAATGCCATGCATATATAGATGTGCCTACATACCTTTTCAGGTGTGTTTAGTAATTCAGTCACAACTTGTACGAAGGCATCTATGGTCATATGTCTAGCTGCATATTCATCCGTGTAGTAACATAAGGAAGTAAATTCAGGCCTAGGCAGTAAACAACGGGCTTTTTCCTCTACCATTTGCAGAGCAGCTGCCCATTTCCTAGTTGTGGCTGCCACCCTGCTCCTAGAAGTCAAAAATGAATTCAAAAAATAATTCCTGAACCAAACGATAATTTATGAACTAATACTGGTAGGAAAAAACGAAACTCTGCGAAAGGAGTTTTCTCCAGCTGTCCAAAGGTGACCCTGAGTTTGACCTTGATCATGACCTTCAATTTCGTTCGAAGGCAAACTCATTTTTAATATGACCCGTTACTTCTAACCGCGAAAATGGAGAAAATGAAAAATTTTTGGTTCGAATATGTCCTTGACCATTTTTTGTACTTGACCATCAAGGTCAAACATACGTTTAGCTCAATTTAAATAATTAAAAAACTGTGTAAAATAAAGTGACGTCACTGTTCTATCAGGATTGTTTCCTGGACACAAAAATCGACTTGACTTCCACATGACCTTGAAGGGCATCATGGTCAAGATCAGATCCCAGGTTACCATTGGATATCCGGGGATAAATCATGAAAATAATGTCGTGGTGGTTTCCCTATAAACCTATTAATTGTAAAGTATTGAATTTAACCTTGATCGTGACCTTCTATGTCATTTGAAGGAAGGTCAACTCATGTTTAATATGACACTAGAATTCTGACCACGAAATTGGGGAAAAGGGAAAAGTTTCCCTAAACAGCTACTGGTTTTCAAGTACCTGAATTTGACTTTGATCGTGACCTTCAATATCATTTGAAGGTCAACTCATTTTTAATATGACCCTATTATACTCCTAACCGAAAAATGGACAAAAGGGGAAATTAGATTTTCGATTATGTCCTTCACAATTTATGGAACTTGATCTGAACCATCAAGGTCAAACATACGTTTACCTCAATTTTTTGATAATTCGGAAAACCGACGTGATTGTTTTTTCAGGATTGTTCGCTGGATACAAAAATCGACTTGACCTTTACATGACCTTGAAGGTCATCATGGTTAAGATCAGATCCAAGGTTACCATTTGGTATCCGAGGATAAATCATGAAAATAATGTAGTGGTGGTTTCCCTATAAACCTATTGGTTTTCAAGTATCTGAATTTAACCTTGATCATGAGCTTCTATATCATTTGAAGGCCAACTCCTGTTTGATATAACACTATAATTCTGACCACGGAATTGGGGAAAAGGGAAAAGCTTATGTTCCTTGACCATTGTTGGAACTTGATGTGGACCTTGACCATCAAGGTCAAACATATGTTTACCTTAATTTCTTGATAATTAAAAAAACTGTGTAATCCACAGATAAACTGACGTCTTTCAGGATTGTTCCTTGGATACAAAAATCGACTTGACCTTGAAGGTCATCATGATTAAGGTCAGGTCCAAGGGCACCATTGGATATCAGGGGATAAATCGTATAAATAATATCCCGGGGTTTCCCTACACAGCTACTGTTTTTCAAGTACCTGAATTTGACCTTGATCTTAACCTTCAATGTCATTTCAAGGCAAACTCACTTTTAATATGACCCTTTACTTTTAACCGCGAAAATGGATAGAACGAACATTTTTTTATTCGAATATGTCCTTGACCATTTTTGGAACTTAACCACCAAGGTCAAACATACGTTTACCTCAATTTCAATAATTCAGAAAACTGTGTAATCCTCAGATATACTGACGTCACTATCATTTGAAGGCCAACTCCTGTTTAATATGACACTATAATTCTGACCGAAAAATTGGTGAAAAGGGAAAAGTTTATGTTCCTTGACCATTTTTGGAACTTGATGTGGAACTTGACCATCAAGGTCAAACATATGTTTACCTTCATTTCTTGATAATTATAAAAACTGTGTAATCCACAGATAGACTGACGTCTTTCAAGATTGTTCCCTGGATACAAAAATCGACTTGACCTCGCACGTCATCATGGTTAAGGTCATGTCCAAGGGCACCATTGGATATCAGGGGATAAATCGCGAAAATAATGTCCCGGTGGTTTCCCTAAACAGCTACTGTTTTTCAAGTACCTGAATTTGACTTTGATCATGACCTTCAATATCATTTGAAGGTTAACTCATTTTTAATATGACCCTATTATACTCCTAACCGAAAAATGGACAAAAGGGAAAATTTGATTTTCGATGTCCCTGAACTTGATCTTAACCATCAAGGTCAAACATACGTTTACCTCAATTTTTTGATAATTCGGAAAACCGACGTCATTGTTTTTTCAGGATTGTTCCCTGGATACGAAAATCGACATGACCTTTACATGACCTTGAAGGTCATCATGGTTACGGTCAGGTATAAGGTCACCATTGGATATCAGGGGATAAATGGTGAAAATAGAGTCTTGGTGGTTTCCCTGTACAACTACTGGTTTTCAAGTTATATCACCGTACCTGGCTTTGGCCTTGACCTCCTAAGGTTAAAATTTAAGAATGACCAAGACTAGATTTGAACGTAAAATTTTTAGCTCTTTCCAATTACTGGATCAAATTTCCGGAAAAAAACGGCTTGACATTAAATAACCTTGAAGGTCACGGTCAGGGTCAAATCAAAGGTCACCATTGAATACTTGGGAAAACTCCTACCAATCGCGGGGCAAAAATTGTCTGTGCTAGAAGGCGAGTTCTTATAGATTTTGTACTCAATCTCATGAATTTCATATACGATGAGAAGAAATGATGCCAATAACAAAAATATGTTTACTATGAATATTTTGAAAAACCATGATTACGTTTTTAAACATTTAATTTTCTAGCTGGAACCATTTCAAGGAGCTTTTTTCAAGATCACCTGTAAAAAACCTCTTTCAACAAAAAAACGGCACTTTCCGTCATGGCTCTACAAATAAGCATCAAAGTCGATTCAGCCATTTCTGAGATCACGCGTTCACTGAAACGCCATCGGACACACCGATGGGTAAGAATGATGAAGTAACGCACTCCGAAAATTAGGCAACCAAAGTTACACCACCATGTATCGCAGCTCGCGAAGCTTCGTCAGCACTTAGCTTCAGGTGCGTGAACGCTTGCATCGCTACTTAGAAGGTTAAGCCGATATTCAGGAATCATCGGAACCCGCCTGGTAGTACCCACCCATCTTGCTAGAAAATGCTGGAGTGGATCGGGAACTGTCACTTCAGTATATAAATATCCGACCAGATGGCAGAACCAGTCAGTCGCAGAATGACTTTGTAAGGGGTGCTCGTTCGGTAGCACCGTTGTCAAGTTGGGTTGATTATTAAGCAAATTCGTACATAGGTACTTTCCTTTTGCTAACATATCTTTATATTCTTACTACCGATCGGTGAAGCATAAATACCTACCCTGGGCTACAAAGATCCCAGTCCCTATCATAAGCAGTACACGAATGTGGCACTTTTCCTACGTCTCTAACGAGAAGCGACATTCTTTTGTGGTACTTCAAAGTAGCTACAGCCTCATCGTGGGTTACTTCCATGAACGACTGGCCGTTCACTTCCAAAATCTGGTCGCCCACCTAAAATAGACACAAATTACATTTCAATATCTTGGTATTATAGTATATCCATGATTTTACTAGTGTACCATAAATGTAAAATGAAGTGATGTTCAAAAAACGTGATGTGATCTATGCAAACCTCGCAGATAACTTACCATTAATCCCGCCCGATCCGCTACAGAATCCTTATCCACACCAGTGATGAAGATTCCTAGATTGTACTCTACACCGCCTCTTATCATCAGTCCTAAGCTCTGACCAGGTTCTATACAAAGCTCAACCTAGAAGGAATGGAGGGAGAGATAATAAGTGGTTGGAACAGTCAATAGAGATTATCATTGTAATGAACAAATCACGTCATTTTCGCCTGTCTCTCTGTTGTCATCTGTACGAAAATCTTGGTCCACTGTACACAGTGTTTATAAAATTCGGACGTTATTTTACATACATACAGCTTTTGTAAGAATAAACTGATTTTCCTGGTAGAACATACACAAAAGTGTCAAGATAACCGAGCTGTCAGGGTAAGAAAAAAATCTGGGATATCAGGATTAGAAAAGACGGATGTCGTTCATTTTGGCTGGTCGGAGTCCAAATCGCCGAGTACTTGATCTAGTAGGAACACATCTCGTCAATAGCGGCAGCTGCTGGGAAATAGCTAGGCAACTATTGTTTATTTTGGTAACATATTTCACCAACGAGCAGAGCAAATGCCACTGGCTTACTAGGTATAAAAAAAAATACGGCTGAAAGTTGCGGAATCACCCCTTGTGCGGCAGGCAAATGTCTGGAACATTCCCATTTAGTTTATTCGGATAATATTACAAAAATAGGTATTTTTTGGCAGTGAAACTGGCATCACTGTCAAACGAGCCTTCAGTCATGCCTAGCTGATTCGACCTCCTGCATATCGATGCACTGCAGCTCCAGTCACCTGTTTATACCACCATTAACTCCACCCCATTCGTCAGCATTATCTGACGTCTATTCCGTCTACTACCTGCACAATTCATGCTCACCTGGCCGAACACGTTTTAGGCAAAGTGAACTTTGGAGCCATCCAACAGCCCATTCATCGATTTTACGAGGAGAAAAATACATCAAATTAACTTAAAGGCTATGTCAATTTTCAAAATCCCACAATCTTGCCATAAATGCATCTAAGTCCGATGTAATGTTTTTTTGCTCTGAGCCTAGGAGGGTTGTCATGTGATTGTTAACGGTAAATATTGGCACAGTAAACATAAATGTCTCTCCGTGTACAAAAATATTAGAGGCTGAGATTCACAGGCCACGTGAAGAATCTTCCAAGGAAATCATACCTGTGACATCGTGCTTTATATGCTAATAAGTTTATACTTAACATCAAGTTGAACTGCGTCTCAGCTGCCATACCAGTTCTTATCTACTGTAATACAGGGTGTCCGCAAAGTTGGGGTTTTCCTTTACACGACGTGTAGATGTTGAAAACATAAGCAATTTTTCTTAGTACCATATACACCAATGTCTTAAGGGAACCGAGATAAAGGGCTTTACAACATCAAAAATATCTGAATACCGTCCTGTAGCCGCGACCCGGGACATCACCGATTGGTACAAGGTCTCAACCAGACGGCAGAACTGGGTCGGGGTCAGTGTGTCAGGTCAGTATGCAACCTTCAACCGACGGTTACGGTCACGCATGTAGAGGTAATCCCGTAGACGAGAATCCCTCAACAAGCACTGGAGACGTGGCTAGAGAAGTGCAAGTATCAAAAACTAAAGTGTGGCAAACGCTGCGTGAAGAGGGGCTGTATCCGTTTCACGTCCAACGTGTACAAGCCCTTCAACCTGACGATGTTCCAGCAAGAGGGCGGTTTTGTGAGTGGTTGTTGCATCAACATGACAATAATCCGGACTTTTTGAAGTGCATATTGGTGACAGACGAATCTACGTTCACGCGTAATGAGGTGAATAACTTGCGCAACACTCATGTTTGGTCAGTAGAAAATCCGCACGCTGTGCGTCGGGCACATTTTCAACAAACATTTTCGGTGAATGTTTGGGCTGGCATGGTGAACGGTACGCTCATTGGACCATTTATTCTCCCAAATCGATTGGACGGGATGTAATACCTAGACTTTTTACGCAACATTTTGCCTTCCTTGTTAGAAGATGTGCCATTAAGTGTAAGACAATCAATGCGGTTTCTGCGTCTGCTCGGTAGCGCTTCAGCTGATTTCATTTTCTGTTGGAGCGGTATGATTTCGGGCAGAGACGTACTTAGCCCTTCTCGTCAACTGGAGAGTGAGTAATTTTTCCTTTATTTTTTTTAACTTGGTCGCCCTCGTTTCACTACACATTGCCTTTGTTATTTCTAGGGTAGTTGTTTCTGAAAAGGAAAACCCCAACTTTGCGGACACCCTGTATTTTATTTCATCCCTGCCTCGATCGCATAGACAAGAACAGACTGCAGGTTGTTCAGAACAGTCGCTTAAGATTTATCTTTGGTCTAAGACGTCTTGAAAGTTTACTTCTTTGTGCTGGTTGAAAATGATCTATATATATCTTGTTTTAATCCCCAAATTCATGCTTTCATCTGAACTTCTAAATCTCAGAAAAGTTAATTCGGTAGTAAGCATAATAGAACCATCAGGCATATAAGCACAATCACTATTCCCCACCATAATTCTAAGCCAATTTAGTAAAGGTACCGAAGGTTTATTGTTATTCTATGTCTTATGAGTTACCTTGGATTTTATATTTTTGTATGAGTAGATGTGCTATGCCGCTTCGGTCTCACTAGTTTTAAATCCGCCGCTAGAGGCGCTGCACGAAACCTAACGAAATCTAAGTAATCTGACCGGAAGTGATCCACACAGCCGACGGCCGGCTGCCGATCGCCTTATCAGTGTTGTTGTGTTCGCCTGCGGTTATGATGATAGTAAGGTTTAGTATACAGGGGGAGCCAAGAATGTTTTATACAGGGTGAGTCAGAAGGTTGGCAGGTAGCTTTAGCTTAAAAAAGATTGTGCGTGCGTGCGTACTTGCGTACGTGGTCAAGTGTAAGAATAGCCTACTGCTAAGCTTCGCCACTGGTGTTAGATCCTGTGTACTTGCATCTACTTGATAAATACGAATTTATTATTATTACTATTTCCATCCAGACTTTATTATTCGAAAGGGGGTGATTAGCATCTTGAAAATAGTGTACTAGATTTTCGGCTTCGTGACGACAGTTTCAGCCAATATTGGATCATACCGAATAACGCTGTCCCACTTTTTTAACACAAAAATAAACATTTCTAAATATATTTCGACCTTTAAGAATGTTTAAAATTACCGAACTATAGCGCTGTTAAGCGGGGTATTGTAGGTATGAACATATTACAAAAGTTAGTGCATGCTACCGGATCGTCTAAAACGTATCATTTTCGGCTTCATGATGATCGTTTCATCCAATATTGGATCATACCGAATAAGGCTGTGCTCATTTTCTGGACACAAACATAAACATTTTTGAATATATTCCGAGCTTCAAGAATGTCTAAAATTACCGAACTATAACGCTGTTAGGCGGGGTATTGTAGGTATGAACATATTACAAAAGTAAGTGCGTGCTAGGGGATCGTCTGAAACGAATCATTTTCGGCTTCATCACGATCGTCTCATCCAATATTGGATCATACCGAATAAGGCTGTGCTCATTTTCTGGACACAATCAAAAAAATTTTGAATATGTTTCGAGCTTCAAGAATGTCTAAAATTACCGAACTATAACGCTGTTAGGCGGGGTATTGTAGGTACGAACATATTACAAAAGTAAGTGCATGCTAGCGGATCGTCTAAGACGTATCATTTTCGGCTTCATCACGATCGTTTCATCCAGTATTGGATCATACCGAATAACACTGTTCTCTGTTAATGGACATAAACAAACATTTTTGAATATACAGGATGTTTGTTGCATCGTTTGCCAAATTTAAATGGCGGACAGGGGAGGTCTTTTTATATCACCCCAAGTCCCTCAAGCAGATTTAAGCCCAACGGCATTAATTATGTAGATTTTTTGTTTTTTTTTTTTTAGTGAAAACTCCAAAATGTAAAAGACAAAGTGAAATAAAAAAAATAAAGAGTATGTCCACCTAATGATTAATTTATCTTAATGGATGATGTTGTACCAATCTTACAAAATCAACATTACTTGCCAGCAGCATGTAGTTTTTTATTTATAAACTCACCAAGGGTTACAAAGAAGAACAAAAAATGTAAGTCTCAATTTTGCACTTGGTATATTTTTAACATTGGCTCTATATTCCTAGCACAACGTCCGCCGGGTACAAATGCTACACAACCCCGCTATCGCTTAAATTGTGTAAACCTACATTTCCTGCGCTACGTTAACGACTTTGACAACTAGCCCGGAAACAAATGAACTTAATGAGCGTGGGTGAGAGATGAGATGAGGACGCTTTTTGCACCACCGAAGCGGTAAAAGTAGTTTACTTTTTATCCTTTAATCAGAGCCGACAAGAAAAAAAACTGACGCTCTGCGAAACTGTATTGGTTGGCTATGAAAAGATGTTTGTTGTCGCTTTACTATTGTTATGAATACGGGTATAATGATCATACAGGGTAAATATGAGGTCCTTTGGAATGTTTTCGGACTCAATAAGTATGCACCTTTTTGATAAGCACAATTCCAACTTTGACAGCTTGTAAGAAGGTAACATGTAATCAAAAAGATCAATGTCAGTTCAGGAGAAGTAACGTAGATTTGAATACAAAAAATATAGCACTTACTCTTCTAATAGCTCTTTCTTTGGCTCCAACATGCCTCGGATAGCCGTACCGATGGCCCCTGGAGTACTCGATGGGTGGGGACGCGGGTCGGCCATACCTATCTATCCATGAACAGGTCTGCCTCAACGGCCGAGGTCCAACACAGTTGCCCATCGGCAACGTAGGGGATCTGACGGTCATCGAGATCTTTCGGCATGATTTCAGCATCTGCAAGAGAACAAAACGCGTCGATATGATATGGTCAAGGGAAATCCAGCCTACGCGAAGGTGAAAAATTGAGGTCATCAATGGCCTTAGATATACAGCGTGGACGGAATATTACTCATAAACAAATACATTTTATGGAACGTTATACATGACATTTGAGGGCACATCTCTAAAATATTGGCCATGATACAGGGTGTCCCAATTTCGACCTACATATCAAAGTTGTGATTTTTCAAATGGAATGCCTAAAATTTTATTGCATATTTGGACAAACCAATTTAAAAGAAGAAAATTGGTTTAACATACTATGGGGTTTTGGTAATTAGCTACTGAGGTATAAGGTGTTTTGTCTAGAAAAACCCCCACATCGCCATTTTGAAATT